TTAATTTAAAAATTTTAATATATATTTATTCTTTTAAAATCAAATTTTCCTATGATGTGAATTAAATTTTCTTATCCAAAATAAATATTTAAAATTTAAGAATTTTAAATTGATTTATCTAAACAAAATATTTAATAAATAATGAAAATTAAAATAAAAATAATTTAAATTCCAAAATTTTTAAATCTATTGAATATCTAAAATTTCCTATTCAAACATACCGTAAATAAATTTTAGAATCAAAGTAAGAAAATTTTTATAATAATTCGCAACAACCTATGTTAGGTTATTATTACAAATTTTAGGATTTATTAATATAATATTTTTTTTTATGGATGAACGTAATAGTTAAATACGATATCGGACATAATCATCGTAGTGATGATCTTTTTAATGAAATTTTTTTGTTCCAATCTCTTCATTTGCAAAAATTTATCACACTAACAAAAGTCACAGTACAATTATTTAACAAGAACTTAATTGAAAATTTTATTAAAATAGAACATCTCATTCAATGATTTTAAACTATGAATAACTATTTAAAAATTCAATAAAATCACTTTTATTAACCCAAGATGTTTTTCGATTATAGGTCAAGAATTAATTTTCAATTTTTTTAAAGAAATATATTTAAGAGATTAACTATGAAATACTATTTTGAGATTTTTTAAGAAATTTTTTTTTTTGAAAAATATTTTTTCATGTTTATTTGAACTAATAACATTTTAAACTCAAAGTATGTGTCTTCTTATTTTCATTTTCTCTAAAATGATTTCGTTATAAGGGTGATAATATTCTAAATTTAATTATGTGTTGTATTTATATGTTAATTTATCTGTTATATTTTTTTGCGTACATGTAACACAAGCTTTAATTATATAATTTACTAATAATAATTAATTAACCAACTATTTAATTAATTACGCTAAACCACTTAGCTAATAATTAATTAACTTTCAATAATAATAATGATATATAATAATTAATTACAGCATCTAAGAGAATTTTTTCATCCATAATATTAATATGAAATAATTTATCATTAAAAGTTCTGACTAATTTATCAGAAATTTTGTGAGTACACATAAAATAAGTATTATCCATTCAACATAATTTAATTCACATTTAACACCAAAAATCATATTAAACATTTTTTTAAAATAGTGCAGTTTAATTTTATCAATTGAACATGATTAATAAAAAACTTTTTTTTAATAAAAAAACTAAGGTAGATTTTGAATTAATTCATTTAAGTAATGAGATTCATTTTAAGAGTTGATATTTTTGGGTAAATAACTTTGGACCACATATTTTAAGAAAAATGTGTTATACATCAATCATGTCATACTTTGTTGGTTGATTAGCCAAAAGTTTAAAATATGATAATAATAAATATAATAATATTATTATTAATTTGTTAGAAATCGTGCTAAAATTATTTTGATATATAGTTACTTCTAACCTTTTTATAAGACAAAAATAAAAAATATCGCTCGACTCCTTATACAAAAACTAATTAAAAGTGTTTCTTTAAATTAATTATTTTTAACAGAAGTTTTTCTTAATTAAAATCATTTATCTTAGGGGGTGTATTGGATTAGGATTTTAAAGGACTTTTAATAAAGCTATCATGACGAGTTTCCATCAAAACTAGATAAGAGATAGTCCTCATAAAAAAAATTATTTAGACCCTTTGGCCTTTAGCCCCTTTTGACAAACATAAACTCAAGAAAAGTTTATCAAAGCTAAAAGCCCTTATCTCTTGCAAGACCTAATCATATCA